TAAGGTCCCCAGGTTTAATCTCTAGGACCAGGTAAAAAAGTATTATTATTATTATTCATTAAACATACAAAAAAGGGAGTTTATATGATAATCTCATAGGCTTGGTCAGTTCTCACACACTGCATACTTTTAGAGTAGGAAACAGAACAAGTGCCAGATGGGGTGGCACATGCCTGAAATCCCAACCGTTGGGAGATGTAAACAAGAGGATCAAGAGTTCGAGGCTCAGGCTGGCTAGATGGCTCATCAGGTAAAAGTTCTTCCTGAGCAAGTCTGATGACCTGAGTTCGAGTCTCAGAATCCATGTAAAAGAGGAAAGAGAACAGACTCTACAAATTGTCCTTTGACCCACACAAGAACACTGTGGCATATATACACCCACACTCACACACACATCATGTACAAAGCTGAAAGAAGAGTTCAATGCCAAGGCCAACCTGGGATACACAGCAAGTCCAAGACTAGTGGGGGCAGGACACCTTGTCTTAAGCAACAAAAGAAACAACATATAACCTCTTGCCAGAGCATCTTGCTTTATTACTTCCCCCCCACCCAGTTACAACTTTTCCCTATGAATACTCAAATACCCACTATCTTTTATTTCTTTTCCTTTGATTTTGTTTTTTAAAGACAGCATTTCTTTTGTGTAGACCAGGCTGGCGTTGAATTCATAAGACATCCACTTGCCTCTGCTTCCCGAATGCTGGGACTAAAGGCATGTGCCACCGCTGTCTGACTTCTTTAATTTTAAATTTTAATTATTATTCTTTGTGTGTGTGTGTGTCTGTTAATGTTAACTATACCCAGGGCCTTGGGCATACTGGGCAAGAAAGCAAAACTGAGCTACTTTTCAGACTCTTTTTGTTATTGTTTTGAGACAGGATTTCACAATGTAGCCCTTGGCTGGCCAGGAGCTCACTATATAGACAAGGCTGGCCTTGAACTCAGAGATAACTGCCTGCTTCTGCCTCTTGAGTCCTGGGAGCAAGCCCAGCCTCAGACCTCTTTTTATTTTCTTGAGACAGGCTCCTACTAAGTTCCCTAGCTAGCCTGTAATATACTCTATAACCCATGCAAGCTTTGAACTTTTATTCCTCCTGCCTTTGCCTTGCTGGGATTACAGGCCTGTGCCACCAGGCCCAACCTCTCTCAGTTCTTATGTTAGTTTTGCAAGTTTTATACTGAAAAGAAATTAACGAAACAACAGTATGGAGTGTTTTGTGATTTGTTTCTTTTGCTTGATTGTGTATAGCCGTAGATTGTAGATTGTTCATTCCCAATTGTGTGAAGATACCATAGTTGACTGGCACTTGGGTATTTTCCAGCTTGAAGTTGTTATGAATCATATGAATACCTGGACATATCTTCTGGTGAACATATGTACTGGCTTTTTAGAATTTTTATTTCTAGGCAAGGATTTCTGATGCATATACTGTTTTATCAGATACTGCCAAAAATGTTCTCCAAAGTGGCTGTAGCAATTTACACTCCCGTCAACAGTATGAGGTTCTAGTTGCACTTACGCCAGATTCCATGGGGAATCTGCCAGGAGACAAATAACCACCACTGGGAATCAGAGATGGATTTCCTCAACCACAGTATAAAGAAAATATAAAAAAATATAAAGAAAAATATAAGTACAGGAAAAGCAAGCCATAGCAGAAACAGTCCTTATCTTTTTAAGGACACATTTATCTTTATGTGTATGAGAATTTTGCCTGCATGTATTATATGTCTGTGCACCAGGTTTATGTGGTACCTGCAGAGGCTAGAAAAGAACATCAATTCCCTGGGAACTTGAGCTGACAGTTGTTAGCTGCCATGCTACTTCTGGGAATCAAAGTTGGAAGAGCAGACAATGCTCTTAACCACAGAGCAAGTTCTCCAGCTCTCTCTTTTATTTATTTATTTATTTTTTTGAAACAAGGTCTCACAATGTAGCCCAGCCTTGACTCAAAAAGTTCCTGTAATTCTTCTGCCTCAGGCTTCTGAGTGCTGGGGTTATATGTTCCCAAGTTTAGCATTAGTCTTTGCCTGTTATCCTCTGGACAGGAGGCAGTGTCCCGATGGTGCCCTGGTTCCCAAAGAGTTTTGTTTATTTAACTTATTATTTATTTTGAGATAGGATCACACTGGGTAGCCCAGACTGGGCCTGGGTATCATAGAGACCCATCTGCTCCAGTGGTGGGATTAAAGGCATACATCATCATGCCAGGCCAACGTCTTCTCAACATGTACAGTATTATACAGAGCGTGGCAGAACTCCTAAGGCCTGTGCCAGCAGGCCCAACCTAGGACTTAGAGGTTCCTTCATGCTGGAAATGGTTAGTGGTTAGGTAAACGAGGATCAGATTGGATGACTGTTTCACTCCAAGCTCTTAAAAACTTCCTCAATTACTTCCAGGGGGGTGTCTTTGCAGGAAGTCAGAGCTAAAGATCTACAGGTACCTGAAGCAGCTTAAGAGACACATTAGCTGGACCTACTGATGCCTATAGTACTCAACTGTCTCTTCTTGTAGGAGAGAAGAGTATGGTTTTCTGTAAACCAAGCACTAAAGGGGAAATCCATGGCATTCAGAGCAGCCTTTGCCAGGAAGACACATCCCCGCAGCATACATTCAGTTTTCAAAGGAATCATGCTTGAAATAGAGTCTTTAGGTACTGGGAAGAAACTCATGTTCTCAAAATATTTCCCAATAGACCTAATCAATTCTCAAATTTGGGTCTCAAATATTCCTGTACACCTAGTTTATCCCAGCTCTCTGCCTTTATACCAACTTCCTGGGCATAATCAAATGAGATTTCTCTTTTCTTTGGGAACAAGGTTGGAAATTAAGACTATTTTGAAAAAGCCTAAGAAACCCTCACTTGGCCACTACACAGTTAAAGCACAATAAAGTTGCTCACAGAGCTAATGGTTAATGCAGAATAAGAGCCCAAAGTCTTCTCAAATCCTGATCCCCTAAGGGTGAATGAAACAATATGGTGCATTTATATATTTAAAATAAACAGTATTATCCTATTTTTAAAAGAGAGGAGGAAACCAAGACTTAAAAGAATTTAAATAACTTTCCTCAAGTTCACACAGAACTAAGTCTGGACTATCAAGACTTTCCTACCAGACCTCAATTTTCCAAGGTCTATTTACCAAATAGAGTGCCCATGAGTGTGCCAGTCCCTGGATACAAAATAGTGAACAAGCAGACAGGTTTCTTGTCCTCATGTAGTTCACACCAGACCTAGCTACAGAGGCAGGTGGGGGAAGGGAGGCCTCATTCATTTCAACTACACTGCAGGCTCTCTCACAAGCTGGTGAGTCATTCATATGGGCAACCCCCCCACGCCACCCCATAAATTGAAATGAGCTTTAAGCAGGGTCGAGGTAAAGGAGATCAGTAGGGAGTAACATTCTTGTTTCTGAAGGATTTCCCTCAAAAAAGTAGAAATAATCTGAATCTTAAAAACCATTCTTAAAAATACCCGGGTTCCTGGGTAAGGAGGTGGGCGTGGAGGGAGAAGCAGTGAGGTGTGCGGCGAACCCTCAGCCAGCCACGATTCACTTGCCAGAGGAATAATACTAATACAAGAGGGCGGTGTAGGACACCCCAGAGCGAAGCCCCCTAGCTGTCTGGCTCGCAGCCGCCGGGGGGTGGGGGGGTTCGCGGGGACCCCGCCCCCTCCTCGGGTAGTACCGGCAATGAATGGGCAACTCGGGTTCTCCAGCAATCGCCGCCACCCCTCCCCCGACCGCGGTCTCCCCGCGCTGCTGCCGTCACGGGGCGGGGAGCGGGAGGACTGCGAAGCAAACAAGCCCCAGGGCGTCTGCCTGACCCTGAGCGAGGGCGCTGTCCCGGGCGCGGAGAGGGGCGTGAGGCACGGCCCGCACAGGACCCCGCCCCCGCCCGGCCCCCGCCCGGTGGGCTGGCGGCCGCGCGCGTGGCAGCCGCGACCCCTCTGCTCCTGGGGCAGCGCGGGAGGGCGCGAGCCCCCGAGTCCTGCCCCCGACCGTACCTCCTTTTTCACGTTCCACAGCAGCTTTTCTTTGACTGCGTCCTCTGCGCTGCCCATGGTGAGGCAGAGTGGCGGGCAAGCGGCCCCACGATCCCCCGCGTGCCCTCGCCGCCTCCGCGCCTCCCGGCTCAGCGCCCCACGCGTGAGGCGGAGCCCCCGCCCGCTGCGCTCCCCGCCTGCCGCTGCCGCAGCCACTGCCCGGTGCTCAGCTCCGCAGCCATCTTCCGAGCCCCGCAGACGTCAGGCAGCAGGCCCGGCCCCTTCCCACAGCCGGCAGGGAGGGGGTGTGTGCGCCGCGACTGGGGGGGCGGTCAGGGCGGGTGCGGACGCCTGGGGGTGTCGGGCCCGGGCGCGCGCCGCAGGGACGGTTGTCATGGAGACGGACAGGCTCCCGCCCCGAGGGCGCGAACCCGCATTGTGAGCGCTGGGAGCCTGCTCTTAGCCAGGCGCTGCGGAGCAGGTGGACTTCTGGAAAGGTGCTTGTTGTCTGGGCTGGCCTCAACCTCCGTGATTGTTCCCGACTTCTGGCCCCTCGGAGAGCAGCTGGGAGGCCTGGGTCCCTGGGGTTCGAATCTAGCCCTATCACTCCTCCGAATCCCGGGCCTGTCTGTCAGTCGCTCTTAGTTGCAAAGCTTGTGGGAGAAAAGAGCCCAGCCTCGACCTATGGCGAGCCGGATCCTGAACATAAGAGGAAGCCCTCTCCCTGAGGGTCTTCACGTCTCGTTTGGCTCATCTTGCAGATTCGTGGGGAGAGGGGACACGAGTTGGAGTAAGAGACATGCTGGGACGGTGCCGGTGAGACGAATCCCTTTAAAGTGGTTCGCATTGGAAATTATAGTAGGGGAAAGAAAAGGTTACTCAGTAATAACACTAACACTTTGTCGCTCTATAAAAATCAATGGGACCAGAGAGACCAGCATTCAAAATCCTAAGTGACAGGAGGATTTCGAGTGCAAAAATTAAAGATAGTCGTGAAATAGACCCCCTGTATGAAGAGCCGAAGCCAGGAGCCTACACGCGGCGTCTTTCAGCTCTCAACACTGGACTGCAGCGTGGGAAAAGTTGCCACGACGTATTTGCGGGGGCTCAGGCACCCCGCGCTCACACGCTGGCGGAAAAAACCTCGCGAGACGGCGCGGGAGCCCGTTCAAGACTGAGTCCTGCCCCCGGGGCCGGAAACGCTCCGGTCTTCCCGGAAGTAGTGCTTACTTGGTGCACGTGGGCTGCAGAATGGCGGGTCACCGCTCCGGCCCGCTGAAGCCGCACAATAAAGCTCATAAAGGCGGACGGCACCACGGTGGTGGGTCCGCACAACAGGGCAGCAAAGGTGAGTAGACAGAGGAGGAAGAAGCCGATAGCCATGACTACACCGAATCTAGACTTGGGACTCTTGACAAAGTCTCTGTAAGGAGAACTGAGAGGTTCCCGTTCGTTAATCTAATGGTGCGGAGCAGAACAGCCACTTCTGATCTGCCTTCCAGGCCGTGTAGGACCGAAAATCCTGTGCAAGAAGCTGAAGAAGCAGCTCAGCCGAGTAGACCAGAGGCATCGCGCCAGTCAGCTCCGAAAGCAGAAAAGGGAGGCGGTGAGAGGAGTGGGGGGTTGGGAAACGGTGCGGCTTCTGACTGGTTTTAGATGAGTTATTCCTCAAACTAGAAAATGTGGCCTGGGCATGGGCGGAAAATGGAGAGTAAATCCAGGGTACCTATGCGCCTTGTTCTTTTTAGTGCGAGGCCTTGCCAAAGTCCTCGACAACGCATACGTAGTTTTTTTTTTTTTTTTTTTTTTTTTTAACCAAAGAAGGCTTGATCTTTGAGTATCTTCATTTAATTAGCCTTCTGTTCTATTGCAGGGTATCCTGATTATTATTATTATTTCCCGAGACAGGGTTTCACTTGACACTCCTGGAACTCTGTAGACCAGGCTGGCTTTGAACTCAACCCTGCCTCAGCTTACTGAGTTCTGGGATTAAAGATGTGCGCTACCACTGCCTGCCTATGGTTTCTTTCTTTCTTTCTTTCTTTCTTTTTTTTTTTTTTTTTTTTTTTTTTTTTTTTAAACAAAGGGTCTCACTATGTAGCCCTTGCTGGCCTAGAACTCTGGCCTCCAACTTGGAGAGATCTGCCTGCCCTTGCCTCCTGAGTGCTCAATTTAAAAGCCTGGGCCACCACATCCAGCTATTCTGATCTTTTCTAATGTGTTTACATTAAGGTTACCTTGCTACTTTTACAAACAAGGAGGTGTGGAGTTGTGCTTTGGAGTTGTGCTTTGTTGTGGCAGCTTCTGTGTCTCTAAACCTTTGTATTGCTAGGTTCTGGCAGAGAAGAGGCAACTGGGCAGCAAGGATGGGCCTCCTCATCAGGTGCTAGTGGTGCCTCTGCACAACAGAATTTCCCTCCCAGAGGCATTTAAACTGCTTCAGAATGAAGACTTGGGAACAGTGTACTTGAATGAATGGGGGCGCACCCAAAGCTTTATGCTTCTATGCCCTGGTTTGAAACATAGGTGGTTCTTCACATATGCAAGACCAGGTTGGAGTATCAAATATTTTTTTTCTTGTCATTCTGTTTATGTAGTTCTATTTATTGATTATAATGTGCTAACTACTTCTTACTGTGTCTGCTGTTTTCAGGGGATCTGCATACTGTATTAGACATGGCTAAAGTTGCTGATACCATCCTTTTCCTCTTGGATCCACTAGAAGGCTGGGACAGCACTGGGGATTACTGTCTATCTTGCCTCTTTGCTCAGGGTCTTCCCACCTATAGTAAGTGTGTTGGAGTATTGGAAACCAGCAAAGAAAGTTAATTAGCTTTTTTTTTTTTTTTTTGGGTGATCCTCCAGGCACAGTGTTTAACATTTGATTTAGGAGTACAACCAGTGGGTTATATTCTGCTGATGTGGGATATATGTGTCCAAATTGAGCATTTTTAAAAGTTATTTTAAAAATTATTTTATTGTTTTTGTTCTGAATTTTTTGAGACCGTTTCTCTGTGGTGATAGCCCTGGCGGTCCCGGAACTCACGTTGTAGACCAGACTGGTGTAACCCACAGAGATCTGTCTGTTCTTGCCTCCCGAGTAATGGTATTAAAGTTGGGCACCTGCAGTTTCAGGCTTAAAGAGAATTTTTATTTCCGGGCTGCCCTTTGCTCAGGGAAAGAATAGGAAGATGTACTTCATTGTGACATTTCATTAGTATTAGCTCATTGTTGAGTTTCCCAGTGATCTCTGGGCTGTTGTGATCTGGAAATGAATTTTCTAGTAGTGAAACTGAGTGACTAAGCTCTTTCTTTCTCTCCTTCAGCACTAGCTGTCCAGGGGCTTTCTGGCCTCCCACCAAAGAAACAAATAGATGCCAGGAAGAAGCTAAGTAAAACAGTGGAGAAACGCTTTCCTGATGACAAACTTCTGTTGCTAGACACTCAACAGGAGGCAGGAATGCTGCTTAGACAGCTGGCTAACCAGAAGCAACGGCATCTTGCTTTTCGAGATCGGAGAGCTTACTTGTTTGCCCATGTCGCTGACTTCGTGCCTAGTGAAGAGAGTAACTTAGTGGGCACCTTGAAAATCTCAGGCTATGTTCGTGGGAAGACTCTGAATGTAAATAGTTTGCTGCATATTGTTGGACATGGTGATTTCCAAATGAATCAGATAGATGCACCTGTGGACCCTTTCCCTTTAAATCCTAGAGTCATTAAATCCCAGAAAAAACAAAGCATGGCAATGGAGGTAAGATTGATAGGCTTTTCATTTCTGGGACTCCCAGGCCTCAGCAGGCTCTCTTAATCCTTGCTCAAGATTGTTGGGTTTAACTTTTCCTTCCTTCTTCTTTCCTTCCTTCTTCCACCTTCCTCCTGCCTCCCTCCTTCCCTCCTCCCCTCCTTTCCTTTTTTTTTTTTTTTTTTTTTTTTTCTTTTTCTTTTCCTTCAGAGACAGGGCTTCTGTAGCTTTGGAACCTGCCCAGGCACTCGCTCTGTAGACAAGGCTGGCCTCAAATTCATATAGATCTGCCTGCCTCTGCCCCCAATTGCTGGGATTAAAGGCATTCACTCGACGAACCTCCCCCCCCCCCCCCCCCCAGTTTTTTTGTTTGTGTTTTTTTTAAGAACTTATTTTTGTATTCTGGAGAGGGTGCACATTACTGTTATGGAGGACAGGGACAATTTGACAGGGTTTGGTTTTCCTATTTTGTGTGGGTCCAGAGGATTAGATTTAGGCTATTGGGTTTGGTGGCCTAGGCAATTTTTATTTTTTGGTTTTTCAAAACAGAGTCTGTGGTTTTGGAGGCTGTCCTGGAACTAGCTCTTGTAGACCAGGCTGGTCTCAAACTCACAGAGATCTGCCTGCCTCTGCCTTCCTAGCGCTCAAATTAAAGGTGTGCATAACCATCACCCAGTCCCAGGCAATTTTTTCTCCCCTCAATACTGGGTTTCTCTGTATAGCTCTGGCTGTCCTAGAACTTGGTTTGTAGACCAGGCCAGCCTTGAACTCACACAGATCCACCAGCCTCTCCCTTTCAAGTATTGGGATTACAGTTGATTAAAGTGACACCACTGTTTGGCTTTTGTTGTTTTTTTCAAAAGAAAGTATATTTGTAAGTTGGTACAGGATGGAAAATTTAGTTCTTTCATATTTTTATTTATTTATTTATTTATTTATTTATTTATTTTTTAATTTTTTTGGTTTTTTGAGACAGGGTTTCTTTATAGCTTTGGACCCTGTCCTGGAACTCCTCAGTTGACCAGGCTGGCCTGGAACTCACAGAGGTCTTCCTGTCTCTATCTTACTTGCACTGGGATTAAAAGGTGTACGACACCGTTGCCCAACTGGAAAATTTGATTTTCAGAGAAGATAGTTTGCACACTTATTAGCAAGTAAGACAGCTATTTGAAAGTAAGGCAATAGACAGAAATATGTTGATCAATTGTTTTTATCTAGTACTTTCTAGGTATTCTTAAAGGTTGGTTCTGCCTTCGTGGCAGATGTGACCTCTTCTCAGAATTTATTTGAATTACAAATCAAATTAACAACACTTGTGAATTTAAAAATTACAGTGGCATATAGTTAAGCAGACCTGCTGTGGAAATTGAGAGTACACTAGCAAGCTACACAGAAGAGATCAGAGTCAGCCAAGTGTTCAGAAGAATGAATGACTTACAAGTTCCACAGAGGTGAAAGAATGTCTTGGGGACTATGTGAATCTAGGTATAGTAAAGAAGTAGAGGATTTCTTTGAACTTTTATTAAAAACTGGACCTCATTAAATAGCAGTAACTGTCCTGGGACTTACTGTATAGTCCAGGCTATTTTTTGAAAAACCAAAAAATAAAAAAAAATTTTGCAGAGATCAGCCTGCCTCTGCCAATTGAGTGTTGATAAAAAGGTATGCACTACCATGCAGGTTTTATTTGCATTTTGAAGAGAGTGGTTTGATTGAAAGGGAGTATACGCCAGGTGGCACAGGCCTTTTATACCAGAACTTGGGAGGCAGAAGCAGGTGGATCTCTTAAGTTCGAAGCCAGCCTGGTCTATAGGGTGGGTTTCAGGACAGCCAGAGCTGCACAAAGAGACTGTCTTGAAAACAAACATAGGGGAAGGAATTATAAGCAGGTGGGAGAGGTCAGAGTTTCTAAGAAACATTCTCAAGAGTCAAGAAGGTGAGCAGAGTTAAAGTGCTAGGAGATGCCTATTTGGAAATTTTGGTATGTTTTGCTTTTCTGTTTAATTTGAGCAGACTTAGTTAATGGAGCAGGCCTGTTACCTGCTTTTGGTTTTTAGATTTGTGCAGCAGATGCTGCAGCTGACATGGAAGAAGACCTTAGGGTTCTGATGAAGGCAGACCCTGACCAACAGGAGACTTTACAAACAGAGGTTGTTCCAGATCCAATGGAAGGGGAGCAAACCTGGCCCACTGAAGAGGAACTGGATGAGGCAAATGGTAAGTGGTAGCAAACATGTTAATAGCTCTTTCTCATTGCTTGCTTATAGGGCTGGATTAAGATCATATCCTACATGACTGTACTAAGAAAACACTTGGTACAGCTCTGCTTTCTCTCAAAATCCCTCTAGGCTTGCCTTTTTAAACAATAAATCATTAAATCCATTACAGGGTTTTTATTTTAGCTGTGTATTTGTTGCTAACTGTGAGTCAGTTGAAGTAAATTTGGAAATAGTCTGTTCTCATGTAGTTACTATTTTCTCATGCTGGTAGCAGTGTCTGCATAAGTGAGAATACAGAAGGGAAGTATAAATAATATAAATTACTAAGTTGTTTGGGTTTTACAGACTTACTGAAGCAACGTTCTAGGGTGGTAAAGAAGGTCCCTAAAGGTACATCCAATTACCAAGCTGAATGGATTTTGGATGAAGGTGTTGAAAGTGGTGAGGAAGGCGATGAATATGATGATATACAAGAGGAAGGTTTTATGGAAGAGGACTCTCAGGTAAGAAAATAGGCCATTTGGACACTTATGTATACAGCTACAAAAACATGGCTGTGTGAAGTCATCTGCTTAATTATGGAAAGGATATTTTCATAATTTTTGTTAGAATTTATTCTGAGGCTGGGGAAATGGCCCATTGGGTAAAGTGCTTGCCACATAAGTATTAGGACTTGAATTTGAACTACCCAAACCCATGTGAAGCCAGATGTAGTAGTGCAACTCTTAGAACACTAAGGCCAAGTTAACAAACAACAAAAGATCCTGCTGTCTCAAGATAGAAGGTGAGAACAGACCATCAGAGTTGTCTTCTGTTCGCTACATGTGTGCTGTACTCGTTCATACGCATTTATATTGGTTACAGATAGGTGTCTAGGAAAATTGATCTTTGTTTTAATTGTTTTTTTGGGGTAGAATTGGGTAGGTTTCTGCTGGAATATCCACAATATTTTTTTTTTAAAGATGGTCTTATTTAGCTCATAACTGACCTTGAACTCAAGGGTCATAGGCATGTGAAACCATGCCAGATGGCTATTTTTTTATTGTTGTTTTAAGACTTTAGCACACATTATTATTATTGGTTACTTCCCCCCCCCCCCTCGACAAGGTCTCGTGTAACCCATGTATTAGCCCTGATCTCAGTATGTAGCTAGGAATGATTTTGAACTCCTTGATCTCCTGCCTCAGCCTCTACCTTCCCAGTGCCTGGATTATAGAGATATCTGGCATCCTGCATCTTAGTGTTTGATGTGCTAGGAATCAATTCCCCATAGCTTCACAAATGCCAGGCAAATACTTTACCAGATGAGCCATACCCCTAAGACCCCACATTGTTTTTGGGTATACGTCTTGGGGGAACAGTGTTTGAGACAGAGTTGACTATTTTGAACTCTCTATGTAGACCAGGCTGGCCTTGAACTCACTGAGATCCACCTTCTGCCTCCCAAATGCTGGGATAAAAGTCCTTTATTATTATTGCACCCAATGCTCTTTTGGGTGTGTTTGGGTGGGCAGGGGTCAGAAACAAGCTTGCTGAATTTATTTCTTCTCCACTATTTGGGTCCCTGTATAGAACGAGGTCTAGAAATCAAGTGACTTTACTAACTTAACCACATTATTGGTGCTATGATTTTCATTTGGGGGGATGGTGGGGATAGTCTTATGTATCTCTGGCTTGTCTAGAACTCTAGCGGAGGGTGACCTTGAAACTGGTGTGAAATCTGCCCAGCTTTAGGCAGTGCTGGGGATCCAACCAAGAGCATTATGTGTGCTAGGAAGTCCACTGATTGAGGTATATCCTCTCCCCTTTTTCAGTTTGTTACCTTGTTTTTTTTTTTTTTTTTTTTTTGTTTTGTTTTGTTTTGTTTTGAGACAGGGCTTCTGTTTGAAAGAATGGTGGTTGTCCTGGATCTGGCTTTGTAGACCAGGCTAGCCTCCAACTCAGAGATTTGCCTGCTTCTGCCTCCCAAGTGCTGGGATTAAAGGCATGCACCGCCAGCCTACTTTTTTTAAAAAGATAATTTTTCTCTGTCACCCAAGCTGCCATCAAACTCAGTGAATCTCGTGCCTCAGCTTCCTAAATCTTAAGACTAAAATGTGTTTTATAATGCATATTTGTAATTCCCCACTCATTTTACAGGATGAGAGAGGAGAGGAGGAGGAGGAAGAGGAATGTGAAACTATGACGCTAGGGGAGTCTGTGCATGATGACCTCTTTGATGAGAAAGTAGATGAAGAGGCTGAGGAGAGAATGCTGGAGAAATACAAACAAGAAAGATTAGAAGAGATGTTTCCAGATGAAGTGGATACCCCCCGTGATGTGGCTGCTAGAATTCGGTTTGTCAGCAAGTGATTTCAGACAAGTTTATTTAAAATTTCTTCATGGCTTACAATTATTCGAGTAGGATGCAAATGGGAAAAACACATTGTTCTTGAAGGGCTAACATGCTGCATGAGAAGCAACAACATACATTCAAGGTGTACACTTGTTCAGAGTGCAATAGACATACCTAGGTTAATTAGCAAATATTCCTTACAGGAGAAATGCTCAAAGTATGGATTTGGGAAGTAAGAGGGTATATTTTGAAATGATGCTTTTATAAAAGTAAAAGTAAGAAAATGTAGGTGACTTTTCTGCAAGTAAGTCAGGCTAAAAGCCAGTATCAACGTTGGGCACTAGAGTGGTAAGGCAGGCTGAAGATCCACGTTCCCTAACAGGCACTATAAACACTTGTTAGAAGTTGTTGTAGGACATGGTTTTTGCTAAAGCTATTAGTTTGTAGTTGTTTGTTTGAAAGATAGGGTCTCATGTGGATCAGGCTATTCTGGATCTTCCTGCCTCTACCTCTCAAGTGTTGGGCTTATAGGTGTATATTTCCACGCCCAGTTGTAGCTCATTAGGATATTGATGTCTAGTGAGTAATTTTGTTTCTTGAGACAGTTTTGCTTTGTAGCTCAGGCAGACATGGAACACATGACCCACCCCAACCTTCTTAGTGCTGGTACGACAGGTGTGTACATTAAAGCCAGACATACAGCCTTATTAGGTTTGTTGTGTAGGGCTAGGGGTTGAAGCCAGGGCATGTGTACTAGAGGTAAGCATTGTATCACTAAGTTATGTCCCCAGATAAGAGTACTTTGGAAAAGCTAGAGCCTTGATCATTTTAGAAGTGATGTGAGTCTCATGTAGCACCATCTAACCTCTTAATTTCTTTAAAACCTGTGTTTTAGATTTCAGAAATATAGAGGCCTCAAGAGCTTCAGAACATCTCCTTGGGACCCTAAGGAAAACCTTCCTCAAGATTATGCTCGTATATTCCAGTTTCAGAATTTTATTAATACTAGAAAAAGAATCTTTAAAGAGATTGAGGAAAAAGAAGCTGAAGGAGCCGAGGTACCTGCCATCTTGTCCACCTTGTAATTTATTTTTGACACAGTGCTACTTGTTTGGGAACAAAGAGATAATTGAGGTTGAATCTGGGTGGTTGACATACCCATGAGTGATGAGGGTTGGCATATATTTGGAGAAAGATTTTGTCACTCTTGGGACATTAAAGGTAAACCTGATGATTGTCTTGTGCTTTGGCAGGTTGGCTGGTATGTCACACTTCATGTCTCTGATGTCCCTGTCTCGGTGGTTGAATATTTTAGGCAAGGAGCACCCTTGATTGCATTTTCTTTACTGCCTTATGAACAGAAGGTAAATTAGTGTTTTGTGGGAAATGGAGAGTTAAAAATATTTTCCTTTCTGGTGAAAGACTACCTTTTGATTGTGAGTCAGAATAGAGAAGTCAATGATGGTTATACCCAAGATGTCTGAACCTGTCTGAAGCATCTCAGTGATGCAGTCTGTGGTTCTGAGACTTCCCTAATTATGTCTGTCTTCCCCCCCCCCCCCCCCCCCACATCAGAACTGTAGTGGTCTTAAAAGTAAATGTTTGTGCCAGTGTAGAGATCTCTTCTTTCTAGGTGACCAGTAGTCATGCACACTGGGAGTGGGACAGCTGGTGTAAAGGTTGTTGAGGCTTGGAGGAGTGTGGTTGGGAGGGTCAAGTAATGTGAAGGTCATTCACTATGGCTTAGCTCTTGTAATGTTACATGTGGAACAGTAAGCTGTCTTAGACATGTGCATGGAAGTACCTGCAAAGTCAATTGGTGATGGGTAAAAAAGGATATTTATAATGATGTCATGTCATTAACTAGCATGGTTAGTTCTTAGAGTGAAACTGATGTTTATTTGGTTTGCCATTCCATTAGACTGTTGTGTACCTAGACTGAAGCCTTTTCTTATTTGGTTCTCAGATGTCAGTATTAAACATGGTGGTGAGTCGGAACCCTGGCAATTCAGAACCTGTGAAGGCCAAAGAAGAACTGGTTTTCCACTGTGGATTCAGGCGCTTCCGAGCCTCACCCTTATTCTCTCAGCACACAGCAGGTTAGCATGGAAGCTGCTGGGATCTTGTCACCTGTTGTCTTAAGTCTCTGGGGTGAAGATATTCAGTACTCTGCCTTAGGAGCCAATGATGTTTTTATTCAATGTCTGAACCTGTCTGAAGCATCCCAGTGATGCGAACTGTGTTGTGCTGAGGCTTCTCTGCTACAGGAATATTGTTCCAGAGTAGGTTCTAAACCAGGGTTGGTAACTTTAGGAGTAGGAATGGATGTGCATTGCCCGCTCACTTGGTGCTATTGAACAGTACAGGAGACAGAGATGGTGACAGCATTATTGGTACTGTGGGTAAGTTTTCATTTAGTGAGTGCTCTGTCTGACCCTGCATGATGGAAGGAAGAACTGTCCTCTGACTTATACTCCAGTGCTGTAGCACATACAGCCAAAAGTAATAACTGCATTGCAGATAAACAGCTTTTCTGCTATCTTGCTGTCCTGTACCCAGCACAAAAGAGCTCAAGACAGTAAAAGTATTGGTTGTAGTGAGAGTAGATCACCTGGGAGGATTCTTTTCAATGCCAACTGTAGACTAAGTGTTAATTCTGTCTCCAGAAAAAAAAAATCACTGGTGGGATTAAGTTTTATCATTTAATTGTATTGCTGCTGGTTTGTGTGAGAGAGAGAGAGGGAGAGAAAGAGAGAGTTAATATGTAGGGAAATAAAAGATGAAACTGGATAGGATATCCTAGTCCTTGAGAAATGGAGGAACATATATAGCAAGTTTAAGACAAGCCTGCAATACATGAGACTTGTCTCAAAACAGACTGGAACTTGCAGAGGACCTGGGTTCAATTTCCAGTACCTATACTGGTCAGCTTAGAGGCCCCTGCACACATGTACCCCATGCACACCTACATGGATATACCCATACCCAGACATAAATCTTAAACACTACTGCATTTGGTTAAGAGTCATGAGAATATGATGTAGATAGAGCAGTAAGTGTACATGGCCCTGTTTGATCTCTACTACCATAATTTTAAGAGGTGGGGCATAGCTATTAACAGCTCTTGGATTGCTTATGGTTTCTCAAAAGGCTTTTCTCTTTTTTCTATTTATTTTGGACCCTTACTATGGAAGCTGATAAACATAAGTTTCAGAGATTCCTGACTCCTGATGCAGCTTTAGTGGTGACAGTGTTTGCGCCAATCACTTTTCCTCCTGCATCTGTGCTACTTTTCAAGCAGAGAAGCAATGGTATGTTGAATTCCAATTGAACCTACTAGGACCATCATTTTTCTGTAATTAGACCTGGGGACTAACTGTACTAAGGTATACTAGTGGGTTTTCAAAAACACTAATTTCAAACTCACTGAGGGTATAAGGAAGCCTAGGGTGCTATACTAGTTCTTACCTAGAGGCTGCTTGGAGTGCTATATTTAAAGTAGGTTTGGGGTAACTGGCTCAGTAGAAATATCTTTTAGTGGTCTTTTGTGGTGTCAGAAAGGCAACAGTGCATTTCTCCAAGAAAATCTTGCATGGGTCTTTAAAATAGATCAGAGTATAGCTGAAGGATTGATCCTGTAGTTCACAGTTGCTCTCTTTTCCTAGGAATGCACAGCCTCATTGCTACAGGCCATCTGTTGTCAGTGGATCCAGACAGGATGGTCATCAAGAGGGTTGTGCTGAGTGGTCATCCATTCAAAATTTTTACTAAAATGGCAGTAGTGCGTTACATGTTTTTCAACAGAGGTAGGCATGAATGAAGGAAAGTGGGATCTGTTTACCTGTGGTGGGAAGGTGGGCTTGACACCATGGGTAAATGTTTGATTTTGTGTCTGTATTCCCTTCTAAGAGGATGTGATGTGGTTTAAGCCTGTGGAACTGAGAACCAAGTGGGGCCGCAGGGGACACATCAAGGAGCCTGTAGGTAAGAGCTGGGATTCCCCAGTGTTACTTACACAGGGACTATTGGACTGTAAAGTCCACTACATAAGTGTCCTACTTTGACCCATTTGCTGTTTTCCTTCTAGGTACTCATGGCCATATGAAGTGCAGTTTTGATGGGAAGCTAAAATCTCAGGATACGGTATTAATGAATCTCTATAAGCGAGTTTTCCCCAAATGGACTTATGATCCATATGTACCAGAACCAGCACCCTGGGTGAAAAGCGAGATCTCCTCAACAGTGTCTGAAGTGGACATGGAATAATGGATTCAATGGGGTTCTGTCTCCACTGCAGCCAGGACTCCAGTGGGTGGGAGTCTGGTTGTGACTAGGCATGTTTGTGCTTTATTTCAGCTGTCCATGTCTCCACGGAGTATGGGGTAACTTAACTGAAATACTCTTCTTCATTAGGATTTTGAAAACAATTTTCATCTAGAGTCAGTCTTCTCATGAATTTAAACAGAAATAGTCTGGTAAGGAGCTGGCCTTTCAGCCTGCTTCACCCAGTTTAAGGAGGTCAAGTCTACATTCCCACCACTGAGTACAATACAGATATTCTTTACTTCTGGAGAGACTGTTTGGAAATGCTGAGACAGCACTGCAGCCAATCCAACACCAGCAGTAGGCTCAATGAGCAGTTTCATTCTCTCCCACACCAGCTGGGTTGCATACTGTTGATATAAAAAGGAGTAAGGATTAATGAAACAGAACTGGAGTGTTCTATTTAACCTACTGTTAAGCTCTGAACACCAAATGAAATAGATGTTTGGGTCTGTTGTAATGAGTATGTGCTAGTTATTAAAAGTACGCATATACAACTCAGCCTAGCTCTGCTAATGTCAGTTCCCATGTGTCATGGGTCACCTGGTTAAGTTCATACTAAGACTTGCTTTTTTCTCATCCTAGTCTTACCTTGATTTCATCCTCTGTGACAGTGAAGACATCATCCACAAGGTCCCTTATAATAGGCCAGGTATTTAAACCAATGCTTGATTTGACACCATCTGCTATGGTTTCTGGAGGATGAAGATTGGGAGTCAGTTCTCCTTTCATTTTAGACTGGTAGCAGTCATCTGCATTCAGGGGTTCAGCAGCATATACCTTCACACTGGGTTTCAGGGCCTGGGAAGACAGAGTACAATGGATAACACATTTTGTGTTACAGAAGGGTCTTTCCTTTGATAGTCAAATGGAAATATGATTAAAGCACTTTAATAAACTTATCTAGTAACTGAATTGTGTGTACAGAAGGGTCTTTCCTTTGATAGTCAAATGGAAATATGATTAAAGCACTTTAATAAACTTATCTAATAACTGAATTGTGTACCACTGGTTCTAATAATTTGGTGAGTGTAGTAGTTTAGTGAGGTGGACTTGGGAAGGAGTGAGGACGCCACCTATCATCAACTACTTTTATGTTATGACATCATAAATGAAAGGGACAGTGAGACAGGAGGCCATGAAAAGAATGGTAATTTGGGGGGAACTATGGTAAGCAACTATGCACAATGCAATGTGATACAGATCATGTATCACTAATTCAGGAAGTCCTTTAACTTTTTGTTACCTTAATTGTAATGGCTATTCCAGCAACCATTCCTCCTCCCCCTACTGGTACCACCAGTGCATCCACCAAGGGAACCTTTAGTAAAAATATAAATAGGCCAATTAATAAAGTGTTATATATGCAGCAAAACCACTTTGCTAGTGGCTAAATAGGATGACATTTTACCTGGTCCAGTACTTCCAGGGCAATTGTCCCTTGTCCAGCTATCACTGCAGGCTCCTGGTTGGGATGGACCAAGATGCCTTCTGTTTCTTGCATAATTCTTTGTGTGACCTTTTCTCTGGACTAAAAGGTAGCATTAATGTAATTATTTGAGTTACAGTGAGTCCCCAAAAGTACAATTCAGTCACTTAACACTTAAACATTTCTTTTATAAACAAACATGGTATGTTTGAGTGCTTGTGAGAAAAAAAAATATTTTTTGTTGGGTGGCTGAGGGGCCTCTAATTCTATGATACAAACAAGCTATGGCTCTTTAAAAGACTGAATGTGTTAATGTGCAAAGTGTACAAGGCAGAAGGATTTGGCCTTTTGTGAACTATTAAGGGAGAGGAAAATACAGTAGGAGGTTAGGCAGATGGGTGGAATGGATAGAAGATCACCCTAAGACCTTTGGTGGCTGGGGACAATGAGTGGAACAGCACCAAATCAAAAACCTATACTCTGAGGTGGAAACCTAAGAGGATCTGAGGTGATAGGCTGTCTACGTGGACAAGCTGGTCACTACTGGAAACATACTGTGAGGGCCGGAGACAAATGAAGCTGCTGAGTCTGCAGGAACATGCTGGATGGAGTCAGGGTGACAATAGTAGAGGAGTTAGACTAAAAGTTTTGGTTTATCTTCAATTTTGCATGCATACAGAGGTCTGAGGACAAATGGGAGTCAGTTCTGTTTGGGTCCCAGAAATTAAACTTGGGTTATTAAGTTTAGCAGCAGGTGTCTTTATCTGGTGATTTTACTCTTGACAGCCTTCTCCACAGCCTGTGTGTGTGTTTAATTTCTGGCTAGGCAGTGGTGGTGCACACCTTTCATTCCAGCACTTGGGAGCAGAGGCGGGCAGATCTTTCCGAGTTTGAGGTCAGCTTATCTACATAGCAAGTTCCAGGACAGGCTCCAAAGCTACACAGATAAACCCTGTCTAGAACCCCCTCAATTTTTTTAATATAATTTCTGGGACTGGAGAGATGCTCTGGTTAGGAGCAGAGGACTGATTTCAGTTCCCAGCACCCACAGAGCAGCTTAAAGTTAACTGTAGCTCTAGTTCCGACACCCTCCCAGACATACATGCAGGCAAAACACTACTGCACATAAAAAAGAAAAATTAGTTTCTGACTGGGCATGGTATACATGACTTTAATACCAGTACTCAGGAGGCAGAGGCAGGTGGATCTCTCAATTCAAGACCATCCTGGTGTATATAGTGAGTTCCAGGACAGCACTATGTAGACAGATCCTGTCTAAATATAACATCTCTATCTTCATTTCCCTCCATTCCTCATTTTGAGACAGGTTATCATGTAGCTCAGGTCCTCAGGTTAGTCTTACAGTCCAAGGATGACCTTGAAACTCTGGTCTTCCTGCCTGTATTTCTGAAGTGCTGAGATTACAGGTATATGGCAACCATACCCAGGTGTTACACTTTTTGAGAAAAAGTCTTATCCTAGCTCAGCTTGGTCTGGAAATTGCCATTCTGTTTCCTATTCCTGAATGCAAAAATACGAATGTGCTACCATGCCTGGCTTTAGTCACATTAAACTGAGACTAGTAAATATAGATGGGGAAAAGGTTCCATGCTAAGGCAAAGAGGAAGCCTCCAAGAAAGAGGAGGCAGAGAGTCTGTCAAGTGAAGCTAGTAAGTGATGCTGAACACTTCCCTACTTACCTCATCACTTTGTTCACTATATACTATAGAGGCTCCATAGGCTTGTATTGCCAGTTTCTTGCAGTTGGGAGCGGTTTGAGGTACCACAATGAAAGCAGGAATCCCTGGTAGGGGAAGAACATGATTAGATCTAGGATAGAAATTTAGATCATTTTGCTTATGAGCAAACATATTCCTTTGGAAACTTACTTTCCATAGCTGTCATCCCTCTTACTGAAATTAGGGTATTTTCCCACTCCTCTTTGACATTACTCTGTACCCTGAGAAAATTAGATACCTTCCAGTTTGGCAGCATAGGTGAGGGCCTGGCCATGGTTTCCACTGCTGTGAGTAACAACAGCTTTGGGCTTCCCTTCCAAAGTGTCAGGAATTAAGCCTCTGATGGCATTAAGGGCACCACGAATCTGGAAGATAATGGTGAATTATAAATGGACACATTCAGAGAAATGAATTCACTTGTTTCATTGCACAAGCTATAGAGTATTTACACAAACATAGCCTGCTATGCACCCAGGCTGTGAGAGCCTATTGCTTCCAAGCAATAAACTGAAGCACGTTAAAAATACTGAGCAATACCACATGCAATTACAATACAATGGTACTTGTTGGAAATAGAAAAATACAGAAAGGTAAAATACTTATACAAGACATCCCCCTTTTAATTTTTAGATTTATGTATATGATGTGTGAGCCTGTTTAATGCTCTGGAATTGGGTTATAAACAGTTGTGAGCCACAGTGTGGGTACTTGAAACCCAGGTCCTCCCTAGGAACAAATGCTCATCACTGCAGGGCCATCTCTGGCCTCTGTGTTGAGTCTTGCCTTAGCTGGGTTAGAACTTAACCAAATGGTCCAGAGCAGCTTTGAACTCATGGCATCCTCTTGCCTCAATCTCCCATTTCTGGATTACAGGCATGAGCTGTCACATCTACCTCTAAAGACTAGTGAATGTTTTGCAGGACAGAGGATAGATCTGGGAAGATATAAAGACACTGCTATGTAGTACTTAAACTAAACACTGTACACTTAAACTACACTAAGTTTAAAGAGTATTTTTCATAATAGTAAATTTGCTTATTATAACTGCTTTTCTTTGTAAATTAAAAAAAAATTAGCTGGGTGTTGGTGGCACACACCTTTGATCCCAGCACTTGGGAAGCAGAGGCAGGTGAATCTCTGAGTTTGAGGCCAGCCTGGTCTGCAGAGTGAGTTCTAAGATAGCCAGGGATACAAAGAAACCCTGTCTCAAGAAAAAGTAAATAAATAAAAGACAGGGTCTCATGTGGCCCAGGCTAGCACTGAATTTGCTATGTAGCCAAAGACAACCTTATTCCTGATTCTTCTGTTCAAAAAACAAAAACATTGTACAGCTGTACAAAAGTACAGCCAGCTGTCATGGGACCATAATTATGAGGGATTTTGATTGTATGAAAGTGACGTTATAAACATGGTACCAATGACTTGAAAATTGTGCAACCTTTTGTTTCCAATTGCAAAAAGACATTTGTTTATTTCTAACCACCCCACTAATGAACAGATAATAAGACGGATTTGGGGCCAGGTGATGGCAGCCCATGCCTCGTATCCCAGCACTTGGGAGGCAGAGGTAGGCAGATCTCTGTAAATTTGAGGCCAGCTTGATCTACAGATCTAGTTCCTGGACAGCCAGGGCTACAGAGTGAAACCCTGTCTCAACAAAACAAAAACAGAAAACCCAAAACAAACCGATTTGGAAAACATGATAAACAAAATGGGTTTTTACCTTAAAAGATCCAGTTTTCTGGAAGAGTTCACATTTGAAGAAAAGACTGCGCCCTGCTATTTGATTCAAAATGGAGCTTGTTAGCACTGGTGTGAGATGGACAGAATCTCGGATGTTGACATGAGCTTTTTCAACGTCAGCAAAGGAGATGCAGTACTGAGCACACATGGTTCTGAAACCCAAGAACATGGGGTCAAAGAACAGTTCAAACAATGCTTATTTGAAACACTGAAACAGGACAGCCCCGGGACTATAGTGCTATGTGGAACTGTTCCCATGTTGGGATTTCTGTTCACAGAGCAACTACTTTGAGGCTTAAGTAGTATTCTTGTGCCTACTGAAACTGAAGTTATCAGGA